GTGAATTGATTTTAGATCTTTGAACCGCCCGTCTTGAAGTATTTGATCGATTCTATTTCTTATTTATTCTTTTTTTTTCTTTTATCCTTTTTCTTCTGTTTTTTCTTCTGTTTTTTCTTTCATTTTTCTTTTTTTTTTCTTTTTTCTATTTTTATGACTTTTTTACTATATCTTCATTCTTTATCTCTGTGTCGTCAACACAATTTGATCTTTCAGTGCTTTGTATTTGGTCCACCTTGCGGTATCTTGTTACTTCTCTCTGTATTTTATCATGACTCGCTTCTGTAGCGAAATCTGGATTGATGATCTTCACTCATGCGAGCAGATGTCCTTCACCTTTTCCCCGTAGTGTGGAGGGCGATCCTTGGTTAGGGTTGAATAAGAAGAAACAATACTATAGGCTTAAAAGGGGACAAAAAGGGATATATATATATATATATATTTGAAAGGATTAATGAAACAAAGTTGTTTATCATCTCATACATGGAAGTCTTTGTAAAAAAGGTACCCCAGGGGATGAGTATTCAGGATTAACCTTATTTACATGAAAACAATGTAGTTAATGCATGATAGAATTATTTCAATGATTCCTTTCATTTTTTATTCTTCCATTTGCTCATAGTATGCCCCAATTATTCGAATTCTCTTGGAAAAACTTGAGCTGCAACACTCCATATTGTCTTTCTTACAGGAATGGTTCTTGTAATGCCCCTAGGATTTATCGAGGTTGGGAAATGAATATTGGTTTCGTGTCTAGGAAGGGAAATGTGTGACTTTAAAGTCATAATTATGAAAAAAGTAATGTTATGGAATTGTTATTTCTGTCTGGGAAGGTGAAAGTACATGTTTTGATGCCTCGAGGATAAGGGCTTGACTTTATTGTTCAGAGGGAAGTGAGGTCAAGGTTTGGTCTTTTGGGAGTAAATGCGTTTTATTTTGGGTACAGAACCCAACAATGGTTCTTTCGGTTTTGGATCGGGTAAGGAAAGTATAATCTTTCTCTTTGTAAAAACATATAGTTAATGAAGTATTAAAAGAACCTTTAATTCATTTGATATTCAAAGAATTACAAGATTAAAACTTGATTTATTGCTCGTAACCTTGGAAAACGACATAAGATCAATCAACAAGATATTTATTGAGTATACAAAGAAAGAAAAGAAACACTTTCAAACAAGTCAATGCTAGTGCAATATGGTTTCACGGTGAATGGAAGAATTTTTTCATGATCGGCACCAAAATGTCTCATGACATATTAAAATTCAATACCCCTTGGTTAAACAAATTATGGACTTTGCACTTCGGTGCCCCACAAATCTCAATGTTATGACTCAAACTTGATTCAACGCTAACATCACATTCATAGCTCTCAATTCTTTTCTAAGTATGAATGGGTGACTTAAATTTACCTCGAAAGATTCTGCGGATTACTCCTAGGATCCGTGATTAAAGCACTTTGAGATGCAATACATATCATGCAATGTACGATGTATAAATGCTAATGCAAAGATGCTCATGCAAATGCAAAGATAAAAAAATGGGAATGCAAAATACAAAATGTAAATGCAACAAAGGAATTGATTCCCAAAGTATTTTTCATAAAACTTCCAAAGAACACACAATGTCTCAATACACTGAGACAGATGGAAACTACAAATCAAGTCATATTGCTCGACTTCTTCAATTTTGATAAAAATGCAAGGAAATAATCTTCTTTTATCCTTCGCTTGATGGAAAATTCCAACGCTTTGACTTCTTTTCCAGAAATGAATTTGTTGAACACACATATCCGACTGACATCATCCACTGTCTTCTGTTGGTTATCGTTGTTGCTTGATGACTTCAAACATATTATTTCTTTTTGGCTAATTGTATCAACATCGTCGTAGTACCCTTGGAAAGCTTGTTTTACTACATTATTTGAACTCCATGTATTCCAGCTTGATATACCTCTTCGGCTATTTCCTGGAGCACCGTTTTGGATCATTGATGCGGTTTTGCATTTTTATTATACCTCTTCGAGTGACATTTTTATATTAAAAGCCTTCTAATGTAACTATTAACTCGGGAATCAATACCTTCTATGACATGATATGTATAAAACATAAATTAATTCCAAGGTAATTATCCTAGAACAACTTTCAAAGGAACTCACAACGTCCCAACATGTCAAAACATATAAAAAACATTTACCCCTTCGTGTGGCGTTGTTGTTTTAATAGCCTTATAATTTTGATAAATAACTTGGTTATTAACAGCATGTTTATGCACAAACAAAGAAACATGACGAGGAAAATATGTTAGCAAAAATAATAATCAAAGAGAGGAAATATATATTAGTGAAATATGAAAATATTAAATTCAACTGGTAAATGAACCATAAAATACAATGAATAAAACACACGTAGGAAATTAAAATCCTAACTGCATAATTTCTAGTTCACATTCAATTATTCATAAATAATCTATCGAATAAATTAAAAGATGAAGGTTACAGTTCATTTCTCCTTTGTGTACACTTATTTGGGTATCTATAGACAGAGTTTCAGCATGGTCTTAGATCGAGTGGGTTTCTACAGTTTCCTATATGCAGAGTTTTGGTTCTCGGAGTAAAGGTACTCGAATTGTCCTTCTTGGTGCCCCATTGGGTGAGCCAAACCCTTAATCCTCACCCAGTATAGGCTTAAGCAGTCCGAGTTCAATTCGAGAGGGCACATTTCCCTATGCCTAGCACAGAGAATAAATCTTCACGAAGACATAGGGTATATGAACCCTGAAAACTACTTGCTAGATCTGACACGGAGAATAAATTCTCACGAAGACGTCGCTCTCACTCCCACTTAAAGGGAAAAACGTTTGAGTATAGAGCTTATGTTATACAATGCAAGTGTCGTGCGTGAGGAGAAATTCTCAAAACTTTGACAAACAACCACACTAAAATTGAGGTAGAACGAATACAAAATTTTAATATCTTGAAAATCAATCAAATACAAACATTAATCTACAAGGATATAAAATAAAATAAAATAATAAAAAATAATAAAATAATTTAAAGAAATCAAAAGATTCGTACATTAAATAAAATCAAATTCTCAATTTACAATTATAGAGATAATATATAATTGATTTAGGACTTGATCCACTAAGTCCCCTGAATAGTCGCCAAGCTGTCGACATCGTTTTTTGACCGGGCAGGGGAAAACTTAGTACAACTTGGGGGTTTTTCTTTGAAAAGGTTTTGAAATATGAGGAGTCACCATCAACCTTTTAGGTTAGGTAGGTCGAATACCCATAAACCACCTTTTAAAAGAGTTTTTAAGAAACTGTCATTTTAAAATATGCTCCAATCTACATGTAACCAGAGATTCATTCTTTTTTGTAATAAAGAAGGTATTTAAGAATTCGAATATAAATTTAAGTTACGATCTTATTATTACAAATTTAACCATGCAATTTTATTTAACGGAAAATTCTAAGGAGAAATAGAAAATATTCCAACATTTCCAACCGAAGAGAAAATAATCCCTAAAATACTTTAGGACAAAAATTTCTCTTTCCAACTGAAATGAAAATAATATATAAAATTTCTCTCAAGAATTCAAGATTAAAATAATTTTATTCGACCAAAGATATTGAGACCTAATCCCTAATAAAATTAGGCGAATTGTATCAATAAGTTTAAATAAGCGAATATTTCCTTTTCCTTTTAATTTTAGGCATACATATTTTTTAGGTTTTTCTAGTAGGGTATTTATTCATTTTAAAATATCGGAATATGACATCTAGATACTTTAAGACAATCCTTTTCTTAATATTTTAAAATAAATAAATACTATCTTTAATCCTATTATGAAATCAATTGAGTTATGCTTATGAGACTTTCATACATATTAGAAATGTCTAGATCTATATGCGCGAACAAATTGACATGGAAAAGGAGGAAAATTAAGTATGAGCAAATTAAATTTAATATTACAATCTATGTACTATGAACATAACTAAAGTGAAATCCTAATTTCTAAGCTTGATTCGAATGTTAATCTAATTTAAAACTAAAATCTAAGAATTAAAGCTATGGAAAAAACATTTAATAAACTCAATTAATATAATTAAAACAACAAATAAATATAAAAAAATAAAAACAGTAAAAAACAACCTAAAATAAAAAATAAATTAAGTACAAGGACCTAATTGTAATAAAATCTAATTACATTGACTAAAATGCAAGAAAATAAAAGCTAGTAGTTAAATCCGAAATTAAAAAGTGACTAAAATGAATAAATTGTAAATACACATCGAAATCATAATAAAATAAGAAACAGAATCAAAACAGTGGCCAAAATGAATAAACGTACAAATCAATGACTAAATTCGAACAAATCAGAATAATAATAGTGACTAAATTAAAATAAAATAAAACAGAATGATAAACGTGTAATAAATTAGAAACAAAAGGTCTAGTGACCAAAATACAACAAATAATAAAACATGAGCTAAATTATAATGAATAAAATAGCAAAAATAATGAGCAAATCGAAAGTTAATAAAATAAATAAGCATATTCGAAACAAATAACAAAGTAAATGACCAAAGTGCAAAAGAAACTAAAATACAGGGAGCTTGAAGATGATTTTACCCCTGATAGTGACTAAAGCGCAAAACACGCTGAAGCTGGGAGGACCTGGACTGTGATTTAACGCTAAACTAGTAACTAAAACGTGAAACACACTAAACAATGAGGACCTGATGCGTGATTTACCTACTTTTCATACAACCAGCTACACTCCTCACTATCGACCACAAACCGACCCTCGTACGCCGAACACGGACCGGTGACTGACCTACACCTACCGACGACCTCAACCATGAACGGAGGAGGACTGGTCGACTCCTTGAACAACCCAAAACTCTCTGTTATCTCCCTCTCTCGTTCTTTCTCTTCACCAAGCTGAGAGGCTTAAAACCTACCCCCAACACTGGCCACCAAGCCTTTGTGACCCCTACCTTGCTCCGACCGGTGACTTAAACGACGTAAAAAAGCCACCTCTGACGCTCATCACTCACAAAACTAAACCCTAAAAACAAACTCCCAATGATCGACTCCTCGGCCTTTGCCAACCACCAACAACCGGCATTGCTAGGCCACGAACTGACCTTTCTCACACGTCAGCCATAGCTCAACGGTGGCCACTCCCTCTGCCCCCATGACCCCCCTGAAAAACCAAAGAAAAAAGCCAATGAGAAAAGAAAAGAAAGCTAAAAGGGAGAGAAAGAAAGTCAAAATAAAATATGCTTCTCATTTATATTTTCGAGAAAAGGGAGAGTGATTTTACAAGGGTTGGTTGGGGTATTAATAACCTAACCATTACAATATTATAATATTTTTTACATAATAAAATAATGATAAAGCAAAAAAGCAAAACAAATAAATAAAAATGAAAATAAATAAAAGAATGGTGTTTATAGAGAGGGTTTCATTAGACTAAAAGGGGTAACTACTTGAGTAGGATAGTCAATGCCTGTAGTTTACGTTGAGGGGTATTGCCACATCAACAGTTTGACAAACCGAGGGTTGTAGTTCACATCGAGTAGTATTGTTGTAGCAACTGTTCTTGAATACTCCAATAATCCTATCGGGCAACCTAAGCATAACACACTAAGTCATTCTAGACATAGAATAACTTCTCTCCATAGAAAAACCAACCTAAGTGCTTCGTAAGAAATCTGATTGTGTAAGGTTTTTCTGAATATATTGAACTCAATACTTTTATTGGCGTTGACAATTTTTATTTATTTACTTTTGCAAATTTTCCTTGCCAGGAACTTTTCATTCGTTTATTTCCTCTGACACTAGTTGTTTTCTATTTTGACAAGAACTTCAGGACTAGCTCGTGACATCTAGTTCTAGCTATGGAAAAATATCAATAATTCCCACCAATCCCTTAGGAGACGATAACTGTACTTACTATTATATTACTTGTATCGATTGTGTATACTTGCACAGATTTGCTTGTCTTAGCATATACATTCACAAGCGATCATATTTTTGGCGCCATTGCGGGGGATTGGCAACTGGAGGAATTTTGATAATTTCTGCCATAGCAAATTTTTATTTTCTTGTCACATTTTGTTTATTTAGTTTAACTCATTTATTTTCTTGTTTCCATTTGAAGGTTTTATCGTTGCATAACCCTGAGATCTGATTGTGAACCATTAGAACCATTCGACCCTGAGATCAAACAATCATTCAAACAAAGGCGACGCAACCAGTGTGCCAGGGATTACAAGAATCGACTACAGTATCAAGCTGGAAGATCAGGTAGATCCCAAGGTCGCAACAAATAATCTTCCCACAAATGTTGCAAGACCACGAGAAATACGATATCACTTAAACCCAAATCTTGATGATCTCAACCCTAGAATCGTGGCACCTAAAATACATGAAGCCCATTTTGAGCTTAAACCGGTGATGTTCAACATGAAGATGTGCTGAAGCTTAAATTGTTCCCCTACTCTCTACGTGACTGAGAAAGAGCTTGGCTTAATGGGGTCCCTTCTGGATCAATGGAATCTTGGGCTAACTTATGCAAAAGTTTTCTGCTTCGCTACAACCCGCCCAATATGCACACCCAGCTTGGCAATTACATTGCTAGTTTTTGCCAAGGCGATGATGAATCTATGTATGAGTGTTGGGAAAGATATAAAAGCTTGCTTCGCAAGTGCGCTAACCACAGATTCAACTACTGGACTCAAGTCGTGATGTTTTACAATGGTGTCAACGCACCTACTCGTATGATGACTATCAATTCCCGTCTGCAAGGCTTGGAACCGGCAGAAGAATATCTGGGGTGTATGAAGTTGATAGTAAGGATTCCGTTTCTGCCCAACAAGGCAACTAACTCAGCATGCATTTTTTGCCAAGGAAATCATCATGAGAGTAAATGCCTAGAAAACCAAGAGTCCATAAATTTCATAGGCAACTTCAATAGAAGTAACAACAACCCCTACTCCAATACATATAATCATGGATGGCGACAACATCCAAATTTTTCATGGGGTAATCAAGGAAATAACAATAACAATTATGCAGGCAATTATAACAGGCCACAACAAACATTTATGAACACTCAAGTTCGCAACATCAACAGATGCCATGGCAAGGTAATAATAAAAGTAATGCATCTTCTTCAAATTCTAACTCCCTCGAAGCTTCATTATAGGAATTTATGGCCTCGTCAAAAGATTTAATGGCTTCAATAAAGACCTTGATACACGAACATTCATCAAGAATCAAGAATCAAGGCAATCTATGGTAAAGCCAAGCAGTTCTATTACAAAGCCATAGCTCATCATTGAGGGCATTGGAGAATCAAGTGAGACAAATTGCCACGACACTACATTCTTGCCCACAAGGTAGTCTCCCTAGTGAAACTCATGTCACTAAGCCTCATGGAAATGAGCAATACATTGTGCTCACATTGAGGAATGTTATTCAAATTAATATTGTGGATAAGTTTATGGGGGAGAAACAAGAAAATTTTAGCCAAGGCACCACACTTGAAGAACCTGAAGATCAAGTTGAGATTTTTGAACAAGCAGAACTAGATAAGGAGAAAGAAAGGAACGAGGGTTCAAGAAGTCATCACACTAATGGTGAAAAATTATTTTCCAAGGCAAACGTTGCTTCACCACCTACAGCGGATGAAGTTAGACCTCCACCACTTTTCCCTTAGCGGTTGAAGAAGCATAATCACGAGATACATTTTAGAAAGTTTGTTGATGTCCTTGATCAACTACATATCCATGTTCAATTACTTGAAGTCATTGAGCACATGCCTTCCGTTGCCAAATTTTTAAAGGACATTGGCACAAAGAAGACAAAGGTGGAAAGAATAGAAATTGTTGCCATGGAAACAAAATATTGTTCATCAATAAGTAAACTTCCAACGAAGCAAAAAGATCTTGGCAACTTTGTTATACCATGTTCCATCGGCGATGGATATGTTAGAAGAGCTCTTTGTGACTTGGGGTTAAGCGTAAATATGATGCCCAAGTCCATATTTTTTAAGCTTTGAATAGTAATGCTCGACCAACCACTGTGATTTTGTAACAAGCTGACCGGTCACACGTTTTTCCCTAAGACAGAATTTAAGATGTAATTGCTAAAGTGGACAAGTTTGTTTTTCCAACTAATTTCCTCATTATAGACTGTGAAGCCGATGAAAATGCACCTATTATTCTTGGACGTCTATTCTTAGCTACAGGGTGGCTGATCAAAGCCTCATGATCAATGTCTTCAACACTCTTAAATACGTTGATGATTCTAAAGAATGCCATTACATTGAAGACGTTGATTCATTGGCGGAAGCTAGAACATAAAATTCTGGTCAAGGAAAATTTGTACATCTTGATGAGTATGATAAATTTTACAAAGACAATATTCTCCTTAAGGAAGAGTGTAAAATTTGTGGCCAAGACGATGTTTTATAATATGAGGAACACAATACTTGTTTCCAAGGCAAAATTTTTGTGAATGTAGGCAAATGTTTCTTGATTGAAATAGATAAAAGATATAAAAAAGGCAAAGTAAGTACATAGTATGAGGACAATTCATTGGAGGAAGAACAATATAGTATACTTCAAGCTATACTAGGCATGAGATTTGAACCCCTTGATTTCAATGAATTTATTCCTCCAAAACCTTCACTACAACATGCACTTACCTTAGAATATAAACTGTTGCCATCACATTTGAAATAAACTTATTTAAGTAGTGATGAAACTTTACCAGTTATAATTTCTGCTAGTCTAACTCCCGAGCAAGAAAGAATTTTGTTGAAAGTCTTGTCACAACACAGAAAAGCTCTCGGGTGGACTATGGCAGACTTAAAGGGAATCAACCCTACAATATGCATGCATAAGATCCAGTTAGAAGATAGCCATAACAATTATGTTGAACCACAAAGGAGACTTAACCCGATAATGAAAAAAGTGGTGATGAAGGAAATCATAAAATGGCTTGATGCTGGAGTGATCTATCCCAGATCCGATAGTTCATGGGTCAGTAAGGATGGCGTGACCGTGGTTAAGAATGAGAAAGATAAGCTTTTGACTACAAGAACCATCACAAACTAGAGGATATGCATGTATTACAGGAAGCTCAACAAGGCAATGAAGAAATACCACTTCCCCCTCTCTTTCATCAATCAAATTATTGATCCGTTAACATGCAAGGCATTTTACTGTTTCCTTGATAGATATTCTATATACAATCATATCGCTATAACACTTGAATATCAGGAGAAAACCACCGTCACCTACTTGTATGGTACCTATGCCTGTAGAAAAATGTTGTTTGGAATATGTAATTCTCTGGCAACTTTTCAGAGGTGTATGATGGCCATTTTCTCAGATATGGTGGAGGAATTCATGAAAATATTTATGGATGACTTCTCTATCTCGGGTGATGATTTTGACTGATACCTTAGCAATTTATCTAAAGTACTGAAGCAATGCGAGGAGTCCAACCTTGTGCTAAACTGGGAGAAATGTCACTTTATGGTGAGCAAAGAAATTGTGTTGGGACACAAAATTTCTCACCAAGGCATCGAAGTTGATAAAGCCAAAGTGGAAGTAATTGAGAATTTACCTCCACCCACCACTATGAAAGGCATACGAAGTTTCCTAGGGCATGCAAGAATATACAGGTAGTTCATTAAAGACTTTTCAAAGATTTCAAAGCCTCTGTTTCTTTTGCTTCAACTAAATCAACCGTTCGTGTTCGAAGATGAATGCTTCAATGCGTTCATTGATCTGAGGAAAAAACTTACATTGATACCAATTGTTGTTCCACCTGGCTGGGATGCCTCTTTTGAGCTGATGTGCGATGCAAGTGACTATGCTGTAGGGGCAGTGCTAGGGCAAAGAAAAGGTAAAATATTCCATGTAATCTATTATGTTATCCATACCCTTAAAGATGCACAACTTAATTATACCACCACTGAAAAAGAATTGCTTGCCATGGTATTTGCTTTTGATAAGTTTAGGCCATATCTTATAGGAACTAAGGTTATTATACATACTGATCACTCTGCCATTAAGTACTTAGTTAATAAAAAAGATACAAAGCCTAGGTTTATTAGATCTGCAAGAATTCGATTTAGAGGTAAATGATAGGAAGGGTACTAAAAACCATGTAGCAAATCACTTGTCTATGCTAGAGAACAAAAACATTTGCCATGACATGAGGGATATTAAGAAGGATTTCCCTGATGAGAAAATCTTATCTGCCACAGATGTACCATGGTACGCTGACATATTTAACCTTCTTGTTAGTGGTGTTATGCATCCAGATTTATCTAGCCAGGAAAAAAATTCAGACATGATGTACTCACTATTACAGGGACGAACCATTCCTATTCAAGCAGTGTGGAGCCAAATCATCCGATGGTGTGTCCCCAACAAATTGAGAGAGAACCTCATTCACAAAGATCGTTGCATTCTTTTTCACTTTAACAACCATTGGTTTCAATTTTTGACAATAACACTATCTTTCCTAATATGTTTTCCTCTTGTATAGAATTATTGAATAGTATTAGGTGGCCCACCTGACAGGTTACTATTAGAAAGCCTTTATCAATGTTCCATATTAGCGATGAATCACGATTTACAAGAGTCCAAAAGTAAGTATGTTATTCCTCATTTTAATGATATTCTAACTTTTTTCTCTTTTTTACAAGGTAAGGATCTTGAAGTTATCATCCATAGTAATCATGAATTCTTTAAGCTATTAAAAGATGGGGGCAAGAACAACATAATTGATGAACTACCCCGAAGGTACACCTTTACCTCTCAAAAACATATTAATTTTGTGGGATTCAGAAATATTAAGGAATTATGTCCTAATGACTCCGATCTTTCTGTTATATATACTCATTCTTGTAAAGGTGCTTTTAAATGAATTCTATTTTGTAGATAAGTTTCTTTTACAACTAAACAAACTATGCATTCCACAAAGCTCCTCACGAGAATTCTTAATTCATGAACATCACTTCGGAGACTTAATGGATTACTTTAGCAAACTAATCAACAAGTTTTTTACTCACTTATTTTACCCACACATGAGTAAAACCATTGAGAGAACTTATAAATTCAGCAGTGGTCTGCACCATGTAGAATTTAAATCTAGAGAATGGAATACAATATATGTGCACAAAGGATGAATTCAAGACAAAAACAAGAACTCATATTTAACAAAGAAGAAACCTCTATTGAAGCGCACAAAGACATATCACATTGATACAGGTAAGTGTTTCACAAGCCTTCCTTTTAACACGTCTGATTCACCTTCTTTTGGATTTTCATATTCATGGATGAATGATTTTGAGGAGTGGGGGAATGATACTTGCACCAAAATTTAACCCTTTAGATTAAATTCTTTATTTTACTTGAAATTCCTTCAAACAAATCCCCCCATTTTTACTATTAATTTTGCCTAAACCAGAATCAAAAGCCTTATATATCACAACTCCAAAGTCCCTATAGATCGACCCTTATTCTCTATACTATCATTTTATTTATTTTATTTGAGATTAAGGATTATTATTGGACAGTACAACGATGCTTGTCAAATTGGATCCTTTGTTGGGGACTTTGGCTAAAGTTACTGATAAAGTTTGTTTTGGATTTATGAGCAGGAGGAATCCAAGAGCATAGTAGATTTTGACCCGAAAATCGAAGTCCAAGCTTAGTGAATTAAAAAACAAACGCTTCAAGAGAAAAGAAAATGACAACAACAAGAATAATTAGATCCATAACCAAATCCCATAGCAACATCTACCTCCAACACCAACAAAATAATGGATAAATGAAACTACATCAGACGCAAATTTCTTGTTAGAACCCATGGTAGATCAAACAATCCGCCAGCTAGTTGCGACACCTGTCGTTTAACAACCTCTTTGCATCACTTTCTCTCAATGTAAAACTCCATTTCAACTTAAAACAAGACTTATTCATCTTTTTCCTGTACTCCATGGGCTTCCCAATAAGAGTCCACACAAGCATCTCACAAAGTTCCATATGGTTTGTTCAAGTATGAAACCTCAGGGAGTATCCGAAGACCAAATTAAATTATGAGCTTTCCCTTTTTCCTATCTGGTTTAGCCAAAGAGTTGTTATTTTAGTTGCCTCCAAACTTTAGCAATACATGGGAAGACTTATCTCGAATTTTTCTTCATAGATTTTTCCCAGCAGAAAAGGTAAGTGAATTAAGAAGAAGTATATTGGGAATAAGAAAAAAAGATGGAAAATCACTTTATGACTACTATGAGTGATTTAAGAAACTTTGTGCAAGTTGTCCGCAACACAAATTATCCAAGTAAACAGTTCAACAGTATTTCTTCGAAGGGTTGCTTTCCATGGAAATGAAAACTATAAATGTTGCTAGTGGAGGAACTATTATAAAAAAACCCCAACTGCAACAAGATAATTAATTTCTACAATGGAAAACAACTCTCAACAGTTTGGCTTTTCAAGTGAACCCAACTGTCGGGTTCATGAGATAAGTATTATTTCTATTGAAAACAAAATCGATAAATTGACTGATGTAGTTAGTTCACTTGTTGCAGGAAAAAATGGAAAATCAAGAGTATGTTGAATATGCATAATGCCAGATTATCCGATGGGTTACTGTCTGATTTTACAAGAAGAAACTGAGACAGAAGTAAATGTTGTGGGGAATTTCCTAGCATCTCCCCAAAGGCCATATAACCCACACGCTAATACTTATAATATGGGATGAGAAGACCATCCAAACTTTTTCTGTGGACAAAACCTGAGGTTGAATCAAAGCTATCAGCCAAGGCTCCCACAAACATATCAACCGCCAAAATCCTCTACGAAATCTATTTTCGAACGACTGGCCTTGTCCTATGGAAAATTCTAAAATCGAACCAAAACCCATTTTCAGGAATTGGATCAACAAATCAGCCACCTAGCTCAAAACATGGGAATATTAAAATCACAAGGGAAGTTACCTTCTCAAACAGAGCCAAATCCAAGGGAAAATGTTAGTGTCATCACCCTCCGAAGCGATATAGTTGTCGCACAACCAATCCCAGAGGACGTTGACACAAGTTCCTAGAAGAAAGAAGAAGAATTGAAATTCCAAAAATAAGAAAAACAACTGACACAGAATCTCAGAAAAGAAAATAGATTGATACAAGATTACAGAGAAAGAAGAAGAATTAATCACAATCTTACCTGAAACCATCTCCCTATGTCACTGCACCTCCTTTTCCTTTGAGGTTAGTAAAAAGAGATAAACAAGCTGAGGAAAAGGAAATTTTGGAAGTGTTTGGAAAGGTAAAATCGACATACCTGTCATTGATGTAATTGGAAATAGACAAAGGTTGCTAGATTTTTAAAACAAATATGTATGATAAAAAGAAGACTTACCAGGAATGAGAGGGAGAACACGTCTCAGCTGTTTTCCATTGAAAGCTTCCACCAAATTTGAAAGACCAAGGTATGTTTAATTTACCTTGTAAAATTGGCAAGGTTGAAATAAAATGTGCAATGTGTGATTTAGGAGCTTTTATAAATATAATGTCTTTATCTCTGTATAACTTACTTTCTAATGAGCCCTTGAAGGATACAAGAGTGACAATACAACTGGCATATCAATCAATAATTTATCCTTAATGGCTCCTAGAAGATGTCTTAGTTAAGTTAAACAAGCTTATCTTTCTGACAGACTTCTATGTCAATAATTTAGGAACTTGTTCAGGAATTCTTCTAGGTCACCTCATCCTTATTATAATGAATACAAAAATCAATGTAAGAAGAGAAATTCTTCTATGTCGTAAAATTTGATGTATACAAAGCAATGCAATATCCTGATTATGTTTCCTGTTTAAATTTTGTTAATATTATTGAGTCTGCCATTGAAGAATTCATAGAATCTAACATTATTGATAATCTATACAAGGAATTAGCGGAATTTGACAATAAAATCAGGGAGTTTGGTGATTGTATTGTGTGTCCATAAAAAGGCAATTAGATGGACTATTACCGATATTAAGGGACTTAGCCCCTCGACTTGCATGTATAAAATCAAAATTGAATAAGGAGAAAAATCATCACGAGAAGGTCAACATCGATTGAATTCACCAATGAAGGAGGTCGTAAAGAAGGAAATTCAAAAACTTCTTGATGCGAATGTCATTTACCTAATCTCAAATAATAATTTGGTAAATCCAGCCCACGTGGTCCCAAAGAAAACATGATTTATGGTAATTGAAAACTCGAAAGGTGAGTTAGTTCTGACAAGAGTGTAGAATGGATGGAGAGTCTACATCGACTACATGAACTTGAATTCGTTAACCCGAAAAGATCATTTCCCTCTTTCTTTTATATATCAAATGATATAAAGATTAACTGGTAAATCTCATTATTGTTGCCTTAATGGATTTTCAAGTTTTTTCCATATCCTAGTTATTGGGACCTTCAACTCACCCCATGGCGCAACTGAAACAAAAATTCGACGGTCTTACCAGCGATTCGAGTATGATAAAACAGAATTGGGAGGAAAGGATGTGAATACTTATAAATGGTTCCTCAAAAAATAGCTATGACAACAACGTCTAATGGTGGTGTCGATCGATTCGAATCGTAAGCCTCCATAAAACAACGACTTGGCCTCTACTCAGTTCACCCGATTAAGAGCAATATTTTCTTTTCCCAAAACTATTTTGAGAAAAATGGCTGAAGATAATGTGTAAAAATGATTGGTTATTTTTAGTAACGTACAACAAATTGTACATATTTGCTCATTTCAATCCTAGGGTATGACCCTTTAGGTTCTTGTAACGTTAGCAGTAATTATTAGAACAAATCTAATATTACATACAATGAGTGACATCTAGCAATATATCATTGTCACCTAAGTTACAAGAAAATATGATTTGACATATCATCTTCGTGATTAACTCTTTTATGTATTACATCATTTTGTCCTTTATGTCTACAATAGGCATAAGTCTTGGAATAGTCACACTTGTATAGCCCATCTATTATTTCTTGATATCTAGAATAGACTTTAATTAAAGAATAATTTGTGATATCTCATATCAACTTATTCGAGTATAACCATGCATTTCTAGTCTCACTCAATCAAGTGGCCTATGATAGATTTCCTATTATGTAGGAAGGACAAATCCTATCTTAATTATACACACCCATTACATATATCGAGATATATTCAATAACTGTCTTTATAGAGCAACCAGTTATAGAGCTTGTTTAACTACATCAAAACATACAAAAGTATATGTTGGGATAGTATTGATCTCAAGTACGAGGATCATACATATAGTCATCACTGTGAGCAATGTTATGACTGTCACATAATAATTCAAGACATATGCTCATTGTGGGTCAATCCAATACATTGTTCTCTAACAATATAATCATGTATCAAATCTGACATCTTTATGCCAATGACAACTCGTTGTCATCAATCAATAACATGTTACTCTTAAGCGTATTATTATTGTCCATGCCCATAATAATACTTGACTAGCGATATTTTAATAATAGCAATTATGTTATTTTATGGACTTTATTATCTTCCAGTTTATGTTAAACACATATATATAACTTAAAATAATAGCGGCAATGCCTTTATTCAATAAAATCGGTAATTAAAATGTATTATTAGAATCATCATATGATTGGTCTTTGGGCATACTCTAACAATCTCTCACTAGCACTAAGACCAATCACTCACATATCTAATACCGAGTGACTCAATGTGATGATCATGCCTCTACTGTGTAAGAGCCTTCGTTAAGGGATCAACAATATTGTCATCCATGTGCATTCTACATATTTCCATATCTCATCGATCCATAATATCTCGAATAAGATGAAAGTACATAAGATTATATTTGGGTCGTTGATGAGATATGGGTTCATTTGCTTGTGCAATGGCTCCATTATTTTCATAACAGAGTTCTATAGCATCTGATATGCTAGGAACAACCCTTATCTCATATATGAACTTCGTGATCCAAACAACCTCTTTTGTTACTTCACTGGCTGCAATGTATTCAGCCTCTGTTGTAGAATCAACTACTGTGTATTGCTTCGAACGTTTTCAACTCACAACACCTCCATTAAGACAAAACACAAAACTCTATTATGATCGTGAGTCATCCTTTTCAATGTAGAAGCTGGCATTAGTATAACCTTTTACACTAAGCTCTTCCTCACCTCCATAGACAAGAAATGTATCCTTAGTTATTCTTAAGTACTTAAGGATATTTTTAACCGCAACCCAATGATTTTCGCCAGGGTTTACCTAATACCAACTCATCATGCTTAAAGAATATGATACATCTGGTCGAGTACATATCATGGCATACATGATAGAACCAATAGCGGAAGCATATGGAATCTTATTCATCCGTTCTATTTCTTGTGGAGTTGAAGTACACATTTCTTTTGAAAGAGAAATACCATGACTCATAGGTAAAATATCCTATCTTGGATTCTTCCATACTGAACCTTTTCAACACTTTCTCTATATATATGCTTTGACTCAGAATTAGAAGTCGTCTTAATCTATCTCTATAGATCTTAACTCCTAAGATATACGCTATCTCACCCAAATAATTTATAGAAAAACAACTACCTAACCAAGTCTTAACAAATTGTAAAATAGGTATATCATTTCCTATGATGGGTATATTTTCTACATACAAGATTAGGAAAGAAACAATGCTCCCACTAGCCTTCTTATAAACACAAGGATAATCTTCATTTCTAATAAAACCAAATTCTTTGATTGCATCATTGAAACGAAGATTCTAGTTTCTAGAAGCTTGCTTTAGTCCATAAATATACCTCTGTAGCTTACAAACCTTTCCAGTATTTCCTGGAATGAGAAAACCTTATGGTTGTGTCATATACACATCATTTTCAAGTTTTCCATTAAGGAAAGTAGTTTTAACATCTATTAGCCTGATTTCATAATCATGGAATGTAACTATTGCGAGCTAGATCCGGATGGACTTAATCATAGCTACAGGGGATAATGTTTCGTCATAGTCTACACCATGAACTTGTCAAAAAACCTTTAGCGACTAATCACCCCTTGTATGTTTGTACATTACCATCCATGTCGATTTTCTTCTTGAAAACCCATTTACGCCCTATAGGTTTGACCCCTTCAAGTGGTTCAACCAAAGTCCACACTTGGTTTACCAACATGGAATTCACCTCAAATCTCATGGTTTCAAGCCATTTCTCATAGTATTGGCTAGACACTGCCTCTTGATAAGTCATAGGCTCATCTTGATCCATAAGAACATCTCCATGTGCGGTAACGAGAAATCCAAATCTCTAAGGTGCATGGCATTCTCTAGTGGATCTGTGCAGTTGTTATATTTCTAAATCTGTTGATTGTTTCTCAAAAACTCGTCACACATGCTTAACTTCAGGTTCATTGATTTTTTGTTCTTGAACTTCTCTAAGTTCAATATTTATACCCTTACCTTTCTTTAAGAGAAATTCTCTTTCGAGAAAAAATCTCATTCGAGCAACAAACACTTTGTTCTCATTAAGGTTAAAGAAATAGTATCCCTTATTTTCTTTAGGATATCCAACAAATATACGCTTATGAGATTTAAGTTTGAGTTTTCTAGACATCTTATGTTTTACATAAGCTTCACAACCCCAAATCTTCATAACATACATACTAAAACGCTTCCTATTCTATATCTCGTATGGTGTCTTTTGAACTGATTTAGATGGAACACGATTTAGTGTGAAAGTGGATGTTTCAAGTGCATGTCCGCAAAAAGAAGTCGAAAGATCACTATGACTCTTTAACGATCAAACCATGTCTAACAATGATCGATTCCTTCTTTTAGAAACTCCATTCCATTGTGGTGTAAGCTATAAGACAATACCACATTCTTTAAGGAGTTTATCAAACTCTATGCTTAAGTATTCTCCACCTCGATCTGATCGAAGTTCCTTAATACTCTTGCCTAGTTGATTTTGTACTTCATTTTTAAATTCCTTAAACTTTTCAAGGGCTTCAGATTTATGGCGCATAAGATAAATATACTCATACCGACTAAAGTCATCGGTGAAAGTAATGAAGTAATAGAATCCACCTCTGGCTTGTGTATTCATCGGTCCACATACATCACTATGTATTAACCCCAATAAATCACTTGCTCGCTCGTCTTTACTATTAAAAGAGCTTTACTCATTTTCCCAACAAGCAAGATTCACATACATCATATTGTTTGAAATCAAATGAATCTATATTTATGGAGTTTTGATATGTGTTTCTCACTTATATGACCTAAATGAAAATGTCAAAGATAAGTTTGATTCGAGTCATTTGTTTTTTATCTTTTAGTATTTATGTTATAAATGGTGTTTTCTTGATCCAAAATATAGAGACCATTAACCAATTATGCGGAACCATAAAAATATTACCGAGATAAATAAAACAACAATTATTCTTAATAATAATCTCAAAACCAATATTGTCTAAAAAAGAAATTGAAATAATGTTCTTATTCAAACTAGGCACAAAATAACAATCCTCTAAATTTAAATAAAGTCCACTAGGCAAAGATAAAACATATGTCCCCATATCTAATGCAACAACTCTTCCTTCATTTCCCACCCGCAGGTCTATGTCTCTTTTAGCTAGATTCCTTCTCTTTTGCAGTCTTTGTACATAAGTACAAATATGAGAACCACAACCGATATCTAATACCCAGGAAGTAGATGTTGACAAATTAACATCAATAACATAAATACCTGAAACAAACATTTCGTTTGCTTTTGCCTTCTTAACCTCTTCGAGGAAAACATGGCAGTTTCTCTTCCAGTGTCCGGTCTTATCGCAATTGAAACATTTTCCTTCCTTGCTAACTCCCCCTTTGGGTTTTAATGCATCTTTTCCTTTTGGTTTGGCCTTACCATTTCCATTAGATTTTTCCGCTACCTTTTCCTTTCCCTTTTTTGTCTTTGTGTACCATTAGAATGGGCTTAAGTCTAACCTTTTTTCATGTTACTTTCAGCAGTTCGTAACATGCCAAGTAACTATGGAAAAGTCTTGTTAATTTCATTCATGTTGAAATTAAGGACAAATTGGCTAAAGCTATCTTGCAACGATTGCAGAATAACATCGGTAGCCAATTCATCTTTGTGAGAAAATCCCAACTTTTCCAAGTTTGGATGTAGCCCATCATCTTGATGACATGAGCTCCTACTGGAGATCCCTCTGCCATTTTGCATTGAAATAGAGCATTAGAGGTCTCATACCTCTCTTGACGTGCTTGGCCTTCATATATTTCCTTGATATTTTTAATCATTTCATATGCAACCATGTCCTCATGTTGCTTATGAAGTTCAGGAGTCGTGGTGGCAAGCATTAGACATCCTACGTAGAACATATCATCCATATGTTTCTTAAATTTGTCTTTTTCAGCTCAAGAAGCATATGCTGCCGGTTCATGAGGAACATGTTCTTTAATGACATATTCATTCCTTTCCTATTTGAGAACAATTCTCAAATTACGAAACCAGTCAATGAAGTTTATGCTATTAAGCTTCTCCTTATCAAGGAGTGATCGCAGTGATAAAGTGTTGTTTGCCATTAAATCCAAAACAATGGAAATATTAAAGTAAATTTACCAAAAAATTATAAACATGTCTTTATTTACAAATTACTCCCACTATTTTATTAAAAATTAAAAACCTTCCCGTTTTAATTTTGGAATAATTAAACTAAAATTTTTCTAGTGGGTGAGGATCCATAATTCAACAATTTCGTAAATCAACTTTGGCTTTTCTTTTAGAATAGTGATAATTTTGGTAAGTAACACTTTACAAGTTACATCTCATTTAACTCCTCCTTTTGGTGAACAACTCTTGTTGAAGTCATCTCATAACTTATCCAAATACTTAACCTCTAGGTTTCTAATCCTATTAGAATAACCTAGCTAAGTTATTACCAATATCTCAACCGGTGAATATCACTTTCTTATTCTTCACGTTTAACCAAGATAAATTTATGTGCCAATGCTTTGGCAAATCCCACACAATATCGATCGAAGCCTTAACGAGGGTAAATATTGGACGGTTAAGTTAACTTTGATTATAAAGAGGGATTTTCGTAATTATCTTATCATTGTTCGTTTTAATATTAGGCCCTTATTGATCTCATCAATATTCATTCTTATTTTATAATTTGATGCATTGTATACATAACATATATAGTAATAAATAAGATACAATGGTTATAGCCCAAAAACAATAACTAAGGTAGCCCATCCCAAGCCAATGGGAGAACCAAAAACCCTAAAACCTAAGATTGCTCTTTAGGTATCTTCTCGTCGTTAATTCAACCTTGTGAATCTTCATAGGATTACAATTTTAAAAGAAACTCGTTTTATAGATGAGGGAGTAAGATGAGAAGAAAAATACAACTAAGATATAGAAAGGCACGACTCTCAGGCCGTATTTCAAATTCAACCATTGTAAATTGAACAAGTGCTATAACCATGCCTGTCAAACACCGTGCAAAATAAACGTATCATATATACACATTGTTACGCCTTTATTAAAAATATTAATATGGGCTTACAATCTATACTGCTGATGAAGGGTCAATGGGCGAAGGCTTTCTACATTGGAACAACCATTGTGTTTTTGGGATTGTTTTTGAAAAACAATACTTCCAATTATATAGAAAAACCTCACAATTTGAAAACACTTATCAACAAAATCATGTTTTTAGGATTTTCAATCCCGAAGGTTTTCTGCATCGGAACAACCATTGTTCCACTGCCAAACGCGATCTGCTATCACACACACACGGATCATCATGTCAACAATTAACATATGGATTTCATAAAATCCTTGCAGCAATGCACATATTAACAAAATAACATATTAATAATTTCGGTTATCGAATCGAATAATAAAATCATACATATTAGCCGAAAACGATAAAACTAGAACATGCATCTCATACATATCACATCAACCAAGAAATTAACACGAATTCAGATCGTACAACCTGGCTCTGATACCACTGTTGGGACCGTCAACTCACCCCATGGCATAGTGGAAACAAAAATTTAATGGTCTCACCAGCGATCCAAGTATGATAAATCAAAATCGGGAGAAAAGGATGCGAATACTTACCGTGGGTTCCTTGAAAAACAGCAACGACAACAACGACTAATGGTGGTGTTGATTGATTTGAATCGTAAGCCTCCACAAAACCACATATCGACCTCTACTCAGTTTACCCGATTGAGAGCAATATTTGCTTTTCCCAAAACTGTTTTGAGAAAAATGGCTAAAGATAATGTGTAAAAACGGGTGCTAGACCTTACACCTCCTTTTATATCCAATTTCCTCTAACATATTAGGGATTTTATTGTTTCAAATTAATTAAATCTTTATTTAATTAATTTAAATTAAATATTCAGGATTATTAAAACATATGTATATCAAATATACATTAACTCTAAATATATTTTAGTAACGTACAACAAATTGTACATCTTTGCTCATTTCAATCTTAGGGTGTGACCCTATAGGTTCTTGTAACGTTAGCAGTAATTATTAGAACAATTCTAATATTATATACAATGAGTGATATCTAGCAATATATCATTGTCACCTAAGTTACAAGAAAATATTATTTGACATATCATCTTCGTGATTAACTCCTTTATGTATTATATCCTTTTGTTCTTTATATCTAGAATAGGCACATGTCTTGGAATAGTCACACTTGTATAGTCCATCTATTATTTCTTGATATCAAGAGTAGACTTTAATTAAAGAATAATTTGTGATATCTCATATCTACTTATTTGAGCATGGCCATGCATTTCTAGTCTCACTCAATCAAGTGACCTGTGATAGATTTCTTATTATGTAGGAAGGACAAATCATATCTTAATCATACATACCCACTACATATATCGAGATATATTCAATAACAGTCTTTATAGAGCAACCAGTTACGAAGCTTGTTTAACTGCATCAAAACATACAACAATATATGTTGGGAGAGTATTGATCTCATGTATGAGGATCATACATATAGTCATCACCATGAGCAATGTTATGACTGTCACATAATAATCCAAGACATATGCTCATGGTGGGCCAATCCAACACATTGTTCACTAACAATATAATTATGTATCAATTCTGACATCTCTATGTCAATTAAAACTCGTTGTTATGAATCAATAACAAGTTAGTCTTAAGCGTATTATTATTGTCCATGCCCATAATAATACTTTACTAAGGATCTTTTAATAGTAACAATTATGTTTTTATATGGACTTTATTATCCTCCAGTTTATGTTAAACATATATATATATAACTGAAAATAATAGCGGTATTGTCTTTATTCAATAAAATCGATAAATAAAATGTATCATTACGATCATCATATCATTGGTCTTTGGGTATACTCTAACACCAGTGGTAGTAGAAAATCAGGAAAAGATGGCATTCTCCTGTCCCTTCGGCACATTTGCTTATCGATGCATGCCTTTTGATCTTTGCAATGCTCTGTTCATATTCCAGACATGTATACTTAGCATATTCTCTGACTATATAAAAAAATTGAATTCTTCATGGATGACTTCACTGTATATGATAATTTATTTGACGAATGTTTTTTAAATTTCACCAATGTACTTAGATGGTGCCTAGAATTTAACCTCGTATTGAATTAAAAAAATGTTATTTTATGGTTGATAAGGGGTTAATTCTGGGCCATATCGTTTCTTCAAATGGAATTGTAGTTGATAAAGCAAAAAACGAATATTATACACTCACTTCCTTACCCCACAACTTTGAGGGATGTCTTCTCCTTCCTTGGTAGTATAAGATTTTACCGTAGGTTTATTAAGGATTTTTCGAAGATAGCGCATCTGTTATACCATTTGCTTCAGAAGGATCAAGCATTTGATTTCAATCTAGAGTGTATAGAGTCATTTGATACTTTGAAAGAAAAGCTTATATAAGCTCCAATTATTCACCGACCAAATTGGAACTATCATTTCGTACTTATGTGTGACGCATCAGATACAAACGTGGGATCCGTTCTCAGTCAAAAATCATCAAAGAGTCACATATCATAACCTATGCATCTCGAACCTGGGATTCGACTAAAAAATTACTCCACTATAGCAAAAGAATTATTTGCTTTAGAAAAATTTAGATCTTATTTTCTTGGTACTAAAATTACTGTTTTTTCTTACCATGCATCTTTAATATATTTGATGAGCAAAAATGAGGTAAAATTGAGATTTACCCAATGAATTCTGCTTTTAAAATAATTCAATTTTGAGACTACAGATAAAAAGTGATGCAAAAATTTGGTAGCTAATCATTTGCGTCGAATTCCCCACTACATATATGCTTCACCCCTTCGAGAAGAATTTCCTAAAGAGAGTCTAATGGTGGCGTAGAAAAATACCCCTTGGTTTGTGAATATGGTCAATTATTTAGCCACATATAAGTTACAATTAAATTTGCCTAGAGTTAAAATTAATTGGATGTCAACATATAGGAAATCTAAGTCGAAGAAATGAAATGCCTCTCAATCCAGTTAAGTTATGTGAAATATTTTATGTTTGGGGAATTGACTACATGAGTCCTTTTATTTCCTCATTTGGAATTACTTACATAATTCTTGTTGTAGATTATGTTTCTAAATAGGTAAAAGTTAATGCCACTAGAAATAATGATGCCAAAACCACGATTAATTTTCTGATTTTTTTTTTTGGTTTGGCAAACCATGGGCTAAAATAAGTGATTGATGAACTCACCTCATTAACCGATTAATTGAATCACTTATGAAGAAATTTGAAGTGACTCAAAGAATTGTCATTGCCTACCATCCGTAGACAAATGGACAAACAGAAGTATCAAGCCATGAAATTAAGACAATACTTGAGAAGATTGTCAAATCAGACCGTAAGGATTGGAGTCTTAAATTAACTGGTGCATTATGGGCAAACCAAACTGCTTATAAAGGCCCTTTGGGATTTCTTAAATTAATCGATGTATTATGGGCAAATCGATCAAAAGGTTTTACTATTTAACTCTAAGTTTAAACTTTTTATAGGAAAGCTTATATCAAAATGGCTCCGACCTTTTAATGTAACTCAAAATGTTTCCTTATGGTGCGATTGAAGTCGAAGATGATTAAGAAGTGTGATTTAAGGTTAATAGTCAAATATTGAAGCCATACTACAAAAACACTCCAGTTGGTTTAATTGAAGAAATTGAATTGGAAGAACATGAATTGGAAGAACTTGTAATCTGAAAACATATCGTCGAGCTAACGACATTAAACAAAAATGCTAAATGAGAGGCAATCCATTTCATTTTATTTCATTTCATTTTTAATATTTTTATTTTTATTTTTATTGATTATTTATTTTATTAAGTACTTATTTTATTTTTCTTTAAACAAATTTGATATTTTCAATCGAATATTTAGCTTTGAAGTAGTGCCTCACATATAGAGACAACACCATAATTTATTCAACAAGCGACATAGGTTAACAAAACCCCCACCATTTGGCACATGTTAGACGAACCCTTTGTCCCCTTTAAATAACCTTTCTGCCACCACCTTTATTCGGGTCAATTAAAATTCTTTCAAAACTAACCTTTCCAATTAGCGGGACCCACCTTATCTATCCCTATCACCTTTTTAAACCAATTCTTTTCCATTAAAACTTCCATGAACTCCACTTATCTTCTTACCATAGTATTATTACATTTTTAAATTCTTTAAATTTCAAACTTATCTTTCATCCTAGTTGCCTGGCTACACCCCAAACAAAGCCCAACGGGGTTGTCTCAGGAAAGGCGGACTAATATACGACTAATATACATCGTTATCGGAAACATAATAAGATACTTAATAAAGTTAGTTTAGCGCTACCGGAAATGTTATGAAATAATAATGTTGTAGGTGGAAATCATTAAGAAATATTAAAAAATTTGGCAACCAAAAAACTTAGCTTGTCTGTACGTATCGATACCATTAAAATATGTATCAATACATTACAATATATAAGGTAAAAATATGAGAAAATCGGGTTCAATATGACAAAACCGGTAAAGCGCTACGGGATATGTTGAATGTATGATTCCATTCAAATAAGTTTTGGAATTTAAAAGAAAGGCAGTAATAGCGCCTATAAAGTATCGATACTTTATAAACAGATATCGATACGTAACAATATAACATTTAAAAAATGACAAAACCGTTTCATTATGACAAAACTGGTAAAGCGCTACTGGATATGTTGAATGTATCGATTCCATTCAAATAAGTATCGATACTTTTGGAATTTAAAAGAAAAGCATAATAACTCCTATAAAGTATCGATTCTTTATAAACATGTATCGATACATAAACAGGTAAAATTTTGACAAAACTGGTTTCATTATGACAAAACTGGTAAATCACTATTGGATATGTTGAATGTATCAATTTCATTCAAATAAGTATCAATACTTTTGGAATTTAAAAGAAAAGCAATAATAACGCCTATAAAGTATTGATACTTTATAAACATGTATCGATACGTAATAATATAACAGGTAAAAATATGACAAAACCGGTAAAGTACTACCAGATATGTTGAATGTATCGATACATTAATAAGTATACATAAAAAGTATCGATACTTTTAAAAGAAATAGGTAAATAACCTATTGAAAGTATCGACACCTGACATAAAAGTATCGAGACTTGGGTAATTGTATCAATTATATATAAATAACATATCCGGTTAAAATATAAAAACATAGCTAAATTTCCTCTGAAAATAAATATAACACGGTCGAGTTTTTGAAATCGAAGCGTAATTGTTACTGCATAGTTGAAGGCGTTTTTAAAGCAAAGTTTGTTTGTTTGTTGCTGCAGTCGAATCGAAAGTACGTTGTCAAAACCCTAGTTTTTTTATTATTACAGTAATTGGAAATAGGGGTTTTATGTGTGTTGGGGTTTTCGAAGTAAAGAAGCATTTGAGACCGATTACAGATAGAAAGTGATATTCTAGGTAGATGATAAATATTGATAATTTTATATAATATTATAGGTAGAAAATGATATTGCAGGTTGTATAAATGTATTGATACTTGTAGTGTTGAGTATTCTCATTCGTTTGAAGGAAATAAGGATTAAGGTTGTTAGGTTTGGTTTGGAGATTTTGAAGCCAAGAATGATTTGGGATCGATTATATAA